AAAAGACTTTATAATGCTTTACTACTTTATCTACATAAAGTTCAAAAGCTAATCCATGCTGCTAGAAATCAGATCAGGGCTACCCTGGGCAGGGGCCTGAGGAGGAAGCATCCTGGCTGCTATGGCTGGGTCTGCTCCTGCTCCATGTATCCCAGAGCATGCCCAGCTCATGAGAATTTGTCATGCTCCATTCTCACATGTGCAATTTCCTGTATATGTATATTACACTTTAGTTAAAAGTTTGAGTAAAACAAAGTACTGCAAACTGCTCTTTGGACACATGAAGCCAGTTGGTCAGTCTAGAAAATACCACTGTCCTTCCACATGAGTCTTTCCCTTGTGTTGACAGAAGAGCTCCAGCACTCTGCAAGTCTTCTGGGAAGGAATTCAGTCATCCACCCCTTTTGTGCTGTCAGTCTGCATGAACTGGAGGAGCAGAGGGAAAGTGTACCTTCCTCTACTGAGGGTGTAGGGGCCTGGCAGGACCCTGACCATTTCTGAACATACCCGGGGACCTGCCTGTAACTGCACATGGAGGACCAAGCTCCAGCTCCCACTCAGCCTGCCAGCAGCACTGCCCACCCAGGCAAGCCTTGAAGAAGCCACTTGCCTACTCACCTTGTCACTTGCCTACCTGTTTCTGTAAGTTACAATTTTTACAGCAACTGGAGAAAAATGCCTGTTTTTTGCTTCACCCATCCTCCCATTTCCAGGAAAGCCACATGGAGGTAGCAGCTGGAAAGCCAATGACACTGGATGAACCCCTGGTTAAACTTCTACAGTTAAACTTCTACCAGCTCACCTGGTTAGTTATTGGCCTGAACCTCAAATCAGGTTTATTCAGAAGCCTCTCAAGCTGTTCGTGGTTGAAGTTGGACACCCTGATGGCTTTCACCAGCGCTGTGATCACCAGGTCCTCCATAGCCTAAAAGAAAACAAAGAACTCTACTGCGTGTATGGGCTCTGTCTGCTCCACTGATAATACATGTCTCTCAGCAACTTGCACAGTATTCTAAAACTGGCTTCACCCAATATTTTTAAATATCATACTTGAAGTTTCAGAAGCATTTCTGCATTCATGGTCTAGTGCCAGTGCCTCCTCCTAACAACTGAGGGATACCAGGCAAGTTATATGACCTCTCTAAGTTTCAGGTCCTTCATCTGCAAAACAGGAGCTATCCTGTTGATGTAATGGGGCTGTCGTAAGGGTTCTGTGAAGGCATGCACAAAAAGCATTTATCTGAGGCTGGGATCTAGCAAACACTCAACACGTTGCCTGTGATTGCCAGCTCTGAATCTTTGTTGATGTGGAGTTTGGCAAGTATGTCCATTGCTACTTGTTCTCCTTCTAGCAAACACTCAACACGTTGCCTGTGATTACTGTTACAGCTCTGAATCTTTGTTGATGTGGAGTTTGGCAAGTATGTCCATTGCTACTTGTTCTCCTTTCTTTCCCCTTGATAGTAATCTCCTTAAGCACAATGTTGTGTCATTATCCTCCTATCCCTCCCTCATCATTAAACATTCTAAGGAACTCGAGGGTACAGCAACCTGAAGCTCTGAGCTGTTCACTAACCAGGCTGCCGGCCGTCCTCCTATCCCTCCCTCATCATTAAGGAACTCGAGGGTACAGCAACCTGAAGCTCTGAGCTGTTCACTAACCAGGCTGCCGGCCTCTCCCTCTGCTTCAGAAAGAGCCTGGTCTTGTGCCAGAGGCAGCAGTAGGAGCTGAGTGGTCACCGGGCCAGTGACCAGTCCACCCATGTGCACTGTCACTGCCTCAGCTCTGCAACAATCGCCAGAACCACACTCGTGCTACACAAACAATCTAGAGTTTACAGCAAAACCTTCAGGAGAGGCAACACGGTGTGACAGAAAGGGTCTAAGGTGCTCTGACCCTTGGTTAGTGTTTGGGTTTCCCTGATTTGTGGGAGGAGAGGAGGTGGAGCCTAGCCCAGGGCCACCTCCCTTCTGTGGTCTCCCTCTCACTGTCCCAGCCTCAGCCTTCAAGCTCAGCCCCAAACTCAGCAAATTCAAGTTTGAATTTGCTTTTTTCCTGGGCCACACGCAGGCCGTGCTCTGCCCTCACACCTGCTACTGAGGCTGCACACACTCACTCGGCTGTGCTGGAGCCCAGATCCTCAGGGCATCTTGCTGTCCTGGTCTGATGCCAGTCTATGGCTCTACTTCCACAAGACACACATCCACCCCTCCCCACTTTCCACCTGGACCCTGGAAACAGGCTTGAAACCTGGTAACCCTCCCTTCACGCTTCTCCCACTACCCTAACTCGACTTCACCACCCTGCCAGCATCATTGTTCTAAAATGCTTAAAAGAGAACTAAAAGGAACTACAAAATGTTAATAGTGGTTACCATGGGTAATGGGAAAATGGATATTTAATTTTCTTTTTACTCTCTTCCATATTTCCTGAAATGAATATGTGATTTCTTAAATCAAGAAGTAAACATTTGAGAAGAAAAGGGAAGTCTGTGTTAGCTATTGCTACAATAATAATTCAGAGCTGCCTTGTACTGAACTAAAGCCAATGAGAAAGTCACGGGAGGTCTCTGAGTTCTTCAGGTACTCATTCCTAATTCCAGCTACAAACGCTGTGTCTCGAGTGGACAAACAGGTGTCTCTGAGCACAAGTGGCTCCAGGTCTCACCACCTCCAGTTTGGAGCTCCAGCACAGGCATGGCGCGGCCAGAAGCCATGACTCGGCTTACCTCCCACGTGTCCAGGAAGTCCGTGTCACTGGGTATGACCATGCCACTGTCATCCAAAGGCAAGTCTTTGTTTCTGGGCTGTGAAACCAAAAGGAAGGGAGCTGACTGGGGCTCGTGATCCATCCTGATGAGGAGGCTGGTAGAGGGACAGGGAGATGTATGGACAGAACTCTGCTGCTGTGTCAGGAGACTAGCATTTGAGCCATGGCCCTGTCACTGAGTGACCACAGCCTGGCACACACCCTCCCTTCCCCAGGCAGCATCATCACCTTTATGAGACTAAGGGCTGGGTGGACTGGATGGCTGGCAAAGTCCCCGCCAGCCTTGAAGTTCACTGTCCACCTCTTACTGGGTAGGAAAGGAAGACCTTGAGTCCTTGCTAATTGCCAGAAAATAGTTTAGTAATTTTAGGTAAGGAATGGGGGAAGGGGCTGCCTTCATGTCTTCATGTCACCTTCTCCCAGCACCACTGTTAGGATCTTCTCTTCTCAGAATTCCCATCAGGATGAAAGATGACGAAGTGAGAGCACAAAGGTGCAGAGGTGGAGGACAGAGAAAGACAGCCTGGCAGGGGAAAGATCTAGTTGCCCCTCACAGCACTTCTGGGTACTGACTTGCAGTCCACCTGCCCCGCTCATGCGTGGCCTCTCACAGCATGTCACAGGGCGAACGGCATAAGACCCATATTTATTAAATGACAACTAATCATTCTCCTGAGAAACAGCGGGAGGATGTCAAAAGCTGCTGAGAGAGGCTTAAAGGGAGAAAGGGAGTGTATGTGAAGCAGTTAGGTAAGTCCAGCCTTTTAGAGGAATATAGGTAAATCTATATTTTAGAGGAATTTTCCCCGATGAACTGTCTCACTTCAAAGCCACTGCCAAGCTGACATTTATCTAGGGCTCCACACAAATGCTGTCTGGCTTCGTTCTCCCTGGACCCTGCTCCTCCAATCTTCTGACATTACACCAAGCCTTGCAGCTCCTGCTGGCCAGAAGTCATGCTGACAACACCATGCCACTTTACTCCATAATCTGTTCAGTGATGATCTGAGAACTTTTCCTTCTCTACCACAGAGAAATACAAAGACAGGGATCTGCTAGAAGATGAGGGAATAGAGTAACATGTGTCTGACCTGAACATATGCTTCTGGATCCCTAATCTGACTTAAACTTTCTGTGCCTCAGTTTTATCACCTGTGCAATGTGGATCTTAACAGTGCCTACCTCATAGATCCGTTGTCAGGATTCTGAGTTGATATATGTAAAGCACCTAAAATAGTGCCTAGTATATAATTAAGATAATAATAAAAGCTGAAAATAAACACAGTAAGGTTATTATATTTGTTTTAATTATTATTCTCTGAATGCACCGAATTCCAAAGACAGAAATCGTTTCGGAATCATTCCTTCTTGCTTTGCTCTCCGGGCATCTTCTGTTCTCAGTTAGCATGACTGATGTGCAGCTGTCTATGTTCTTTATTGAAACTATGTACAAAACCTTAGAGTAAACCTGTACTACAAGATCAAGGTTTTTGTTGTTTTAATCTAAAATGATAACCAACAGCTTGATGCACA